CCTTCCTTCCTTCCTTCCTTCCTTCCTTCCTTCCTTCCTTCCTTCCTTCCTTCCTTCCTTCCTTTTTTTCTGTAGGGTGTTCAGGGTCTCACTACTAGATCGAACTTGTAGTGATCTGCCTGTTTACAGCCTCCCAAGAGTTGGGATTACAGGCCTACACCACCACCACCACGCTCAGTCTCAATTGCCGTCTCAGTGTGCCCCAGGGGTGGGGCCAGCACGGCAGGCCCGAGGATCGAACACCCTGCCTCTGTGTCTGCTTGCGGGTGCTTAGAGCTGCTGAGCTATTTGGCCAGCCCCATCTCCTGATTTTTCAACATTAACCTTCAATCCTACTTAAAAAGCGAAACCAAGCCCCCTCCCTACTCCCCTTTTAGGGTCAAATCATTTGTTTTCTTCTCTTTCAGAGGGGTTTTCTCTTTGTTTGGGTTTTTGTTTCTTGCTGTGACAGAAACAAGAGCATTATTGCAGCAAAAATCAGTAACAAAAAATAGTAACGATATCTAGCAGAGGAAAGGCCAGAGAGATGACAGAAGGAAATTCTATAGAAATCTATATATTGGGTATTTTTCTTTTTATTATATATCTTTTTGTTATTGCTGTCTCTAGCTGATCAGATAAGAGCACAAGCAGGGGCAGAAGATTAGACACTCAGGGTGGGCAAACTTTCTCCCCACCTCTGAGCTGTCCTACCAGCACCATTCCTAGTCATGCATGTAGAAATGTAGATTTGAGACAAAAGCCTGATGTCCCAAGAGAGCAGGGAACAGTACACAGAGCCCCAGGAGGGTTGCTGTCTGTTTGCAAATTTCCGGAAAGCTGGGATTCAAGGCTGCAGATAGCAGCTTCTCCTGCAGGTGTCCTGTTCTTTGATCCCTTGCTTGGGATGTTATCAGCTAGCATTCATGTAGACCTAGAGTTAGGCAAATGGTGGAAGTCAGTAGAGATAGTAGTTTGTATTCACTTAAGTAATTATGCACATTCCTTAGCCTGCCTTTAGCCCTCAGTAAATGTGAGATGCTTCTGAGGCTCTGGGCTCACTTGGAGAGGGACTAAGCTCAGTGAGACCTCTGAAGCTACATTCATCAGGTCTTCTTGTCATTTCTTTCGGCACCAACCCGTAACATACAACACATACAAACAGAACCCAACGAGCAGCAGGGAGATGAGATCACCACACAAGATACTTTACTACAGTATTTCAGGTGCCTACCACACAGGAAACCTTGAAGAAAACCAGTTTCTAGAAGCTGCCGTTACTGCTTGTTTACAGTTTACAGATATATGATAGATATGTGTATATATATGTATATATATTACTGTTAATTACTATGAAATAATCATTCTTAATTGTAAAATGTCATCTTGTCCATAAGTCTAGTGAATTCTCTAAAAGGTAATTTCTTTCCTTAGGTTACAGAGATAACTTTTGCTACCACATATGATACTTACTATAATTACAAAGGAATTTACTCAGAATTGATGTGTAGTTATTATAGTGTGACTAAGATACATTTCAGATTTTACTGAAAATATTGTATTTTCTTTCTATATGTTCTCACTTCTCAATTCTTCTCCAGGTTGACACTATCTCATCCATAGTGATGACTTAACTTGAGATAGTCTTCATCTCTTCTTGCTCCAGGAACCTTCAAAACTGTGTAACAGCTCATCTTCAAAATTATTTTTGCTCTTAAATGGTTACAATAACCTTGTGCAGAAAAATAATCAAAAGTAAAAAGGAAAGTTTGGAGAAAATGACAAAAGTAGAACCCATGCATTGGGCAATAGGAATGATCTTTTTGTGGCAGACTATGGTTGGAGTCCTGGCCAATTTTTTTCTCTTTTACCATTATCTTTCCCTTTATCACACTAAATGCAAGTTGAGATGCATAGATTTGATTCTCAAGCAAATATTGATAGCGAATACCTTACTTACTGTTTCTAAAGGACTTCCGCAGACAATGGCAGCCTTTGGATTGAAACATTCTTTTAATGATTTTGTCTGTAAACTTATCTTTTATGTTGAGAGAGTGGGCAGGGGTGTATCAATTAGTACCATCTGCCTATTGAGTGTCTTCCAAACTGTCATGATCAGCCCCATGAACTCTTACCGGAAAGATCTTAAAATCAAAGCTCCAAAGTATATTGGCTTATGCATTTGCCTCTGCTGGTTTCAACATACAGTCATAAATTTCATTTTTCCTCTCCATATTTCATATGCATCTGAAAAATTGTACAGTAGAAACACCACAAAAAAAAGAGAAATCAGATTTTGTTCTCGTGTGGATCAGGGGACAAACCTGGGCTCAGTCTACCTGGCATTAGTAGCATTCCCTGAAGTTATTTTTTCTGTACTCATGATCTGCTCAAGTGGCTCCATGATTTTTACTCTGTACCAACACAAGCAGCGGATCCAACACATTCACAGGACAAATGTTTTCTCTAAATCCCCTGAATCCAGAGCCACCAGAAGCATACTTCTTCTTGTGGGCACTTTTGTATCTTTTTACAGCTTGTCCTCCATCCTTAACTTGTCTATCGCTCTTTTTCCTGAGGTAGATTGGTGGCTGATGAGCATTTCTGATGTACTTTCTCTGTGTTTTCCAACAATCAGCCCCTTTCTGGTAATGATCCAGGATTCTTCTCTATCCAGACTCTGCTTTGCTTGGATAAGGTGTGCTCTCCTTCTTTATAAGTCATAAATAAATTGTGTGTTTTGGAAGTAGCAATTTTCAGAATTCATTTCTCTCTAAGAGGCAACATAGAGATTCAAGGAGAAGCTTCGTATCTTTGGTGGACCAAAGAATATTTTGAGTCAGGATAGCATCAGTATCAGTGATATTCTTCCTGTATCTAGAGAAAACTTATCTAAAATTCACATGAATCAACAAAACACCCAAATATCGAAAGCCATCCTGACCCAAAAGAACAAAATACGAGACCTGACAATGTGACTTCAAAATATACCATAAAGCCAAAGCAAATTTTTAAAAGAATCTGTGGCATTGTCATAGAAACAGACCAATAGCAAAAGAAACCATAGCTTGTATTATAACTTAGTTTTAAGGGTTGAATCTGAAGAATGAACTTGGATTTCTGAAAATATCTCACAGAAGTAGGGAATCTATTTAGACACATCTGCCTCTCTGCCAGTTCCGCAAATTGAGCCTTTCTCCACATTCCCCTCAGTTGCAGGGATCACAAGAATGAAATAACCTCTTTAATACATCTGTATCGCTTCTTTGGGAATACTTATAAGAAAGTTGTAATTGTATTTGACAATTAGCAGGTATGCAAAAAGTTGTTCAGAAATGCCCTTGTGTCCCAAAGTCTCCACTGTCATTCCCAAGCCAGAAGAAGAGATAGCTACAGCTTGGAGAGGAGAGGAGGTCAGAGACTGACAATCCTTTATTTCAGGGGCCAGCTGTCTCCTTCCCCTGCAATGCTGGCTGTCATGAGTCTCAGACAGAGCTCCCTTTCTTAGAGAGTGAAGGAACTAAGTCAGTATTTTGTCTTACAGTCTTAAAGACAGTATCACTCTGGAAAGGAAGTCAAGGTAAATTTTCATGTTTAGAAAAGGCATTTGGTGATAGAAACACATCCATTGGAAGGGAGAGGAATATTTCTGAGTTATGAACTGAGCCAGTAAACATCATGGTCCCAGGCACTATGTCAGTTCATGATGATTCCTAACATAATTTAATGAACCTGTAACTGAGGATTGTTGGCGAGTCATCACAGTGACTAGAAAATTGTGCTTTATGTTGTTATGGATGGAAGTGGTTAAATGTGTCTGCTATTCACAAAAACCTTACAAGAGAAAAGTCAAATTCACAGCATTACTAAAGGTATGCATGTCATATCTTCATACATATGAGAAAGAATAGAATGGAGTTGTATGTATTTTCTACTTTGGTGCCAAAATTATGCATCTGAAATTATTTCTGACATATATTTATGTATTTATACAGGATAGTTTAGATAATTGTATTTCTAATTTCTGATGGTCTTTTGGAAGGAGCAATTAATGCTTAATATTTTTCTTTTATTATTTTTTTGCTTTTTAATTTTTTATAACACTTTGGCCTCGATATTATTTTTTATTATTTATTTTTAACTCAGTATTAACTTTATTAAAACTCAATAATAATTATACAGAAAATTAAAAATTGTAGACAAACATTGAAATGTGAAAGATATAAGATGAAGACAGAGTGAATTTTAGAGAAATATTTCTGAAATGAATACATAACATGAGATTAATAATAGATTTCAGATGGCTGGCCAAATAGCTCAGTGGATTAAAGTGTCTGCAAGCAGATGCAGGAGCCTGGGTTTGATTCCTGGGCCTGCTTTGCTGGCCCTGACCCCAGGTCCGCTGAGACAGCAATTGAGACTGGGTGTGGTGACGCACACCTGTAATCCCAGAATTTGGTAGGCTGTAAACAGGCGGATCCCTACAAGTCCAACTAGTAGTGAGATCAGAGAACACCTTGTAGACCCTTCCCTAAAATACAGAAAAAAATAATAATAGATTGCACATTGTAAAAGTATTGTTTACAAACTTAAATGAATATAACAATAAAAATTATCTATCATGTTATACCTGAAATGTTTGATATTCAGCAGATAGGGAGGTTAAACCCAACTGCATATGTTGTAGGGTAGTAATAAGCTTCTCTTCTGGAGGGTTAACAACCTAAGTTTGCAGACCAAATATTAGAGAAAAAGAAGGGCTGCAAGGACAGCCAACATTTTGTCCCTAGCCTTTCAAGGTCAGCGAAGACTCAGGACATAGGAGAACCTGTACTGTAACATCTTGTAACTCAGTTGTCCCAAAATTTCTTTTCTTTTTCTTTTTTTTTTTTTGGCAGAACCGGGGATTGAACTCAGGCCCTTGTGCTTGCCAGGCAAGTGCTTATTCTAGTGAGCCATCCCAATTTTCTGATCAAGGAGATTATGGTTCCACAGAGCAACGTGATTGATGATGTAGAATGTGCCTAAGGAGAGTCACATGGAGAGAAAACATTCTCTCAGGCTTTCACAGAGAGCACATTGGCCAAGCAATGGCCATGACTCATCCACATGGCTGACACTGACAAAGGATCCACAAACTGTGGTGCAGGGTTACAGGATAAATCCTGGGGGGACTTGACTGACCTTATCAGATGCAAAAGTTACATTTCTTGTTACAGGTCTTGCTTTATTTTGGTCTTAACAATCCAGCAGAAAAGTATAAAAACAAGGTGTAAAAAGTAGGAAATTATAAAAATAAGGTATAAAAAGTAAAGCCATATTAATATGCTGAGCTGTGAAAGGCTCAAGTCAACATTGCCAGTCCTATGGATAACCCACTACTATTGTGGAATATTGGACTATATTGGATTATTTTGCTGAATTTACGCACCTACAATATTTAAAAGGTAATGGAATACTCATCTCTAACAAAAGTAAACAAAAAAAGGGATACAAAGGAAGGGCCATTTTGTATTTGCATATACAAAATAGGATAGATATACAGCTACTTTCTCTTAATTTAATGAGAAGAAAGATTTGTACTAAAAGTGTTTGGACAGGATATCATGCCTGCATCTTGTACTATGAATAACCACTAAGAAGATAGCAATATGTAATGTATTAATTATTGAAACTATCCTATTAATCGGTTTTGAAACTCAGTCATTGCTATGTTTCTCAATAAAATTTTAAAAAAATCTTCAAAAAAACCCAACTGTCTGCAGTAAAAATGAAGAAGAAATTTACAGATCAGTGATACAATAGTTCACTTGTGCCAAAAATCAAGAAATTATATTCATATAACTAGAATTCTCAAAGTAGAAAGGAGAAAGCAGTAAATATTTAAATATTTAAATTTTCTGAATTTAGTTAAAATTACAATATCACATTTCCAGAAAAAAATTACCTTTTGTATAAGAAATATAAATAAAATCATAGCAAGATACACAAAAATGAAATTGTCCAAAACTAACTGTAAAGAAAAAAATCATGAAAGCATATACATAAATTAGCTATGGAAGAACAAAATTAAATAGCATCTTATTCCACATTAGAAAAAATAAGAGCAAGTGGGTAAGAAACTAGGCTTATTTATTCAAGGGACTGAAAAAAAATGTGTCCTCACTGGATTTCACACTTAGTAAACACGTCTTTGAAAACTAAAAGTAAAATATTTTCCAGTTACACAAACTCAAAATATTCTAATATCTCCACATGTAGCATATAGAAAACAACAAAGACCATAATCCATGAGGCAAGAGAAATTGTTGTATGGTCCTGGCTAAGGAATAAAGAGCTCTCAAAATGGCAGTTAAGCAGGACTATGGAAAATATAATTACATTAAATGAACCCATTTAAAAGGTCATTGAAGATTTCCACAAAACAGTATTGATCTTATCTCAGATTATATACATATTTTTTCATGTATATACATATATATGAAAATATATATAACATATTGTATATGTATGAATATATATGTGTGTGTTCATATGTGTGTGTGTGTGTGTGTGTGTGTGTGTGTGTAAAGGACAAGGAAGAACTAATATAAAGTCAATGGAAAATGGATTTATACTTTGAAAAGTTTCTAATACTAGAAGAAAATATCACACCATGACTTACAAGTAGTTTGTAAGTCAAACAGTATAAATCATAAAACAAAAATTAAAATAAAGGAGTATTCAGAAAATTAATTAAATGTTAAATTAATTAAAAATTAAACATTTAAAAACAATATTCAAATATTAAAACTAAATTGTGGGTCCAACTAAGAAGCCGAGATATAGTGTATCATATGTACGAGTCTGTGATCAAGTCAGAGTACTCACACAGTATTTGATTAGGTTAATAGAGACAAAAATATCAACTAAGAAAAAGTTTTCATGATAGTGAAGAATTACTAAGAATAAAACAACAAAAATACTGCAATGGCAAATATACGGCCAGCACTTCTAACAGTTTGGGGATAGGCTATTGTACAAAATTCTAGTATGTCGTGGATGTGGATAGTGTCCATACTGCTTATGGGTTTTCAGGTGTCATTTGTAGGACTAAACTACTGCTAATTCCCTGATAGTCACCCTGCAAACCCAGACAGAATAGTGACCCATCGGGTGTAGGAGAAATTCATTTGTCGAGTATGCTGATGGAAATATTTTGCCACTGTATTCACAAGAATAATTGAAAAACTGCTGTTATATACCTCTTTTTCTCCTGTGTTTACTTGTTTGCCTTATTTGGTGTGTTCTTTCCATTCTTATTCATGGAGTTGTGGTCATTTTGATATCTCTCTAGAATATATTTTAGTAGTCTGTGTAAGGTAGGCTTTGCTGTCATGAAATTCTTTAGTTGTTCCTTATCATGGAAGTATTTCACTTCTCCATTAAACTTAAAAGAGAGTGTTGCAGGGTACATCAGTCTGGGTTGGAATTTGACTTCTTGCAAGACCTGAAGTACTTTGTTCCATCCTCTTCTTGACTTGATGGCTTGTGAAGAGAAATCTGCCAATACTCTGATGGGTTTTACTTTAAATGTGTTCTGTTTCTTTTCTCTAGCGGCTTTTAGTATACTGCTCCTGTGCTGAAATTCTGGGATCTTATTACATGTCTGGGTGTGGTTTTAATTGGGTTGATGTTATTTGGAGTTCTATATGCTTCAGTTAACTGAATGACAGATGGTTTCCCC